CAAAAAAACAAAAAACAAAAAACAAAAAAAAAACCCAACCCAACAACACAACAAAAGATCAATGAACCCAAGAGCTGGTTCTTTGAAAAGATAAAAAGAGTGACAAACCTTTAATCTGACTCATCAAGAAAAAAAGAAAGGACCCAAGTAAATAAAATCAGAAATGAATGAGAAGTAACAACTGTTATCACACAAATATAAAGAATTGTAAGAAAATAATATGAACTATATGCCAACAAATTGGACAACCTCGGCCAAATGAATAAATTCCTAAAAACATACAATCTTCTAAAACTGAATCAGGAAGAAGCAGAAAACCTGAATAGACCAATTACAGCTAATAAAATTTAAGCAGTAACAACAACAACAAAAAAACTCCCAACAAACAAAAGTCCTGGACCAGATAGATGGTTTCATAGGCAAATTTTACCAAATATTCATAGAAAAACTAACACTTAACATTTTCAAACTATTCCAAAAAATTCAAGAGTGAAGACTACTAAGTTCTTTCTACAAAGCCAATATTATCCTAATTGCAAAACCATATAAAGACACTACAGGGACATAAAAGAATAAACAAGTGGGACCTCATCAAAATAAGAAGCTTCTGCATAGCTAAAGAAAACGTCAGCAAAATGAGAAGGGAGCCAACCATATGGGAAAATATATTTGCTAACGATACATTAGATAGAGGTTTGATCTCCAAAATATATAAAGAACTCACACGACTCCACTCCAAGAAGACAAATGATACAATCAAAAAGTGGGCAAAGGACCTGGGCAGACGCTTTTCCAAGGAAGAGATACAGAGGGCCCAGAGACACTTGAAAGGATGCTTGGCATCACCAGCCATCACAGAAATGCAGCTCAAAACCACAATAAGGTACCACCTCACACCGGTCAGAATAGCCATCATAAACAGATCAACAAACAACAGGTGCTGGCGAGGCTGTGGAGAAAAGGGAACCCTTAGTACACTGTTGGTGGGAATGCAGACTGGTGCAGCCATTGGGGACAGCAGTGTGGAATTTCCTCAAAAAGCTGAAAATGGAACTGCCTTTTGATCCAGGGCTTCCCCTGCTGGGACTATACTCTAAGAATCCCAAAACACCAATTCAAAAGAACCTATGCACCCCAATGTTCATAGCAGCACAATTTACAAGAGCCAAGTGTTGGAAGCAGCCTAAATGCCCATCATTAGATGATTAGATAAAAAAATTATGGTATATTTACACAATGGAATACTACGCAGTAGAAAGAAAAAAAGAACCACTAAACTTCGCGACAGCATGGATGGAACTAGAGAGCATTATGCTAAGCGAAATAAGCCAGGGGGCGAAAGGCAAATACCATAAGATCTCACCTATAAGTGAAACCTAACCAACAAAAGGAAGATGCAAGGAAAATAAGACCAGCAACACTGAAAGAAAAAGAAACCAACAGAGACAAGAGGGAAGGAGGGAGGGGTGGGCAGGGGAAAAGGAAGGGAAGGAGCAAGTCGAGGAACATATAGCAAGGACTCATGGACAAAACCAAAGTGGGGAAGGATTGAGGGAGGGAGGGAGGAGGGGTCAGGGGAAAGTGGTCGGGGGGAGGCAGAGACAAATGTATTTGGAAAAATAAATTAATTAAAAAAAAAGAAAACAAGAAGAAAAAAAAAGAAATGCAAACTCTCAGGACCCACCAAGACCTGAATCAGACACTTGGCAATAGAGCCCAGTATATCCTCCAGCTGATTCTAAAGTATAATAGAGTTTGCCTACGCCTGATCTAAGGAATAAAAGACAGTAAGACAAAAGGAACCAAGACCCAATGGTGACCTCAGGGAGCAGAGCCCATACTCACCAAGGATTGACCACATATTTCTGAACTGTTACAGAAGAGGCCATATTTTGAGGTCTCTTTCTTCTAGCAACTTACCCTGTATGCTAATTAATACAGAGACTATATCAACATTTTTGACCCAGCCAACAAATAAAAAAGACTGGAAGGTTTTGCAGTTCAGTTTCTATGTAGTTTCAAATAGTGCTCCCTGTTCATTCCAGTTATCATCCCAGCCTCCTAAAACAGACATGTGGAATTCATCTTAAGAATAATCCTAGGCATTGTTTCCAACACGACCCCAGATTTACTGCTTCTTAGTCCCAAAATGAGTGAGATGGGAGCAAAGGTACCCTTGGTGATGAATTCTAGGAGAGTCTTAGCCCCCAAGTCCAGAATAAATTTTCTCAGATGAGAAAAAAAAAACACAACAAAGAAAGAAAATTATAGGTCAATATCCCTGATGAACATAGATGCTAAAATCTTCAACAAAATACTACCAAACCAAATCCAGCAATACATTAAACACCATGATCAAGTGGGATTTATCCCAGGGATGCAAGGTTGATACAATATTCACAAATGAATACATCTCATAAAAAAATGAAAGATAAAAATCACTTGATCATATCAACAGATGCAGAAAAATTATTCAATAAAATGCAGCACCCATTTATGATAAAAACTCTCAGCAAAGAGAGAATAGAGGGATCATACCTCAACATAATAGAGGCCATACATGAAAAACCTACAGCCAACATCATACTCAATGGGAAAAACAAAGTGTTTCCCTTCAGATGAGGAACAAGACAGGAACGTCCACTTTCATCACTCTTATTCAACGTAGTACTGGAAGTCCTAGCCACAGTGATGAGACAAGAAGAAGAAATAAAAAGCATCCAAATTGGAAAAAAGGAAGCAAACTTGTCATTATTCACAGATAACATGGTATTGTATGTAGAAAAGCCTAGACTCCACCAAAAAGTTACTAGATCTAATAAATGAATTTGGAAAAGTATCTAGATACAAAATTAATATTCAAAAATTGATGGCATTTTTATACACCAATAATGAACTATCAGAAAGAAAAACTAAGGAAACAACCCCACTTACTATTGCAACAATGACAGAAAAATAAGGTACCTAGAATATAAATTTAACCAAGGAGCTAAAAGACCTCTCCTCAAAAAACTATAGGACACTGAAGAAAGAATCTGAGGAAGATACAAATAAGTGGAAGCATATACCATGTTCACGGATTGAAAGAATTAACACATTAATTAAAATGTCCATACTACCCAAAGCAATCTACAGATTTAACACAATTCCTATTAAAATACTAAAGGCATATTTCACAGATCTAGAACAAATATTTCAAAAATTTACATGGAACCAAAAAAAAAGATCCGAAATAGCCTTAGCAATCTTGAGAAAGAAGAACAAAGTTGGAAGAATCACAATACCTGATATCAAACTATACTGCAAGGCCGCTGTAATCAAAACAGCCTGGTACTAGTGTAAGAACAGGCATATAGATCAATAGAACCAAACAGAGAACCTGGAAATAAACCCATGCCTATATGCTCAATTAATATTTGACAAAAGAGACAAGCACATACAATGGGATAAAGAGAGTCTCTTCAATGGATGGTGTTAGGAAAATTGGACAGGTACATGCAAAAAAATAAAATTAGACCACCAACTTACAATACACATGAAAACAAACTCAGAATGGGTAAAAGACTTAAATGTAAGTTGCAAAATTGTAAAAATTCTAGAAGAAAACATAGGCAGTAAAATTTCAGACATCTTGCAGAGATATATCTCCTAAGTCAAGAGAAACAAAGTAAAATATAAATAAATTGGACTACATCAAATTAGAAAGTTACACAGCTGAAGAAACCATCAAAAATGAAAAGGGAACCCACGTATAGGAGAACATATTTGCCAATGATACATCTGGTAAGGGGTTAATTTCCAAAATACATAAAACACATACACCTCAACACCAGGAAGTGAAACAATCTAATTTAGAAATGGGCAAAAGACCTGAATAAACACTTCTCCAAAGAGGACATACAGATGGCTGACAGGCATATGAAAAAGTGCTCAATATCACTAATCATTAGATGCAAATTAAAACCACAATGAGATATCACCTCTCACCTGCCAGAATGGCTAGTAGCAGTAAATCAATAAACAAGTGCTGGCAAGGATGTGGAGGAAAGGGAACTCTCAAAAACTGTTGGTGGGAATGCAGACAGTTGCAGCCACTGTGAAAAACAGTACGGAGTTTCCTCAAAAAATTAAAAATGGGACTGTCTTTTGACCCAGGGATCCCATTTCTGGGAATATATCCTAAAAATACCCAAATACCAATTTAAAAGAATATATGCACCCCTTTGTTCATAGTAGCATTATTTACAACAGCCAAGATCTGGAAACAGGCCAAGTGCCCATTGGTAGATGAGTGGATAAAATCTGTGGTACATTTACACAATGGAATACTGCGCAGCAGTAAAAAAGAAGGAACTCTTACCTGTTGCAATGGCATGAATGGACCTGGAGATTATGCTAAGTGAAATAAGGAAGTCAGTGAAAGACAAATACCATGCAGTCTCACTTATATGTGGAATCTAATGAACAAAATAAACCGATGAACAAAATAGAAACAGAAGCAGGGATATATGGAACAGACTGACAGCTGTCAGAGGGGAAGGGGAAAGGGGGGACTAGATAAAAGAAGATGAAGGGATTAGCCAGAGAACAAGTGTGTATAACCCACAGGCACAGACAACAGTGTGGGGACGGCCTGAGGGAAGGGTATATGAGGGCTGGATGGAGGTGGGGAAAATGGGGAAAATGGGGACATCCACAATAGTGTAAACAATAAAGTTAAAAAAATAAAAAAAAATAAAATCTCCAGAAGGAGAATCATGCATACTTTTACTAACCATATTTATACTACTATCATAGTATAACATAATTACTAACATAATATTTGCCTGATAATGTAAAATAATCATACTAGTCACATGAAAATAAACGGTAGACTAATACCTCAAAGGGAAAATAAAGTAGGTTTCTCTAACAATGTCAAATCCAGAACTACTTAATATATATAAAGAAATACACATTCTGACAGATGAGAAAACATTTTATTATTATTTTACTATATAGCATAGTAGTGAATATACTTGATTGCAGTTTCTCAAATGGCAAATGGGACACAGGAAAACATTTTTCTTTAATTACTGAAAACCTCAGTATCATCTGTCTTTTGGAGGATTCAATTTCTTACGACGTATATGATACCTTGAAGAAAAGAAAATATTTAAGATTATTTTAATAAAAGTTAATTGTTTCAGTTATACATACCAAATTTCTATGTTTATTTTTCCATTTATGAATACTCAATGAAATCAATCAAACTATATACATGCGCTGTTAGATATATCTCAGTATTTAATAGCCACATTTCCCCAGAGTGAAAATTGTTTTCTATTAATTAAACATTTCGGAAAATCTCCATTCAGATCTTGGGGATAATTTCAATATGATAACCTGGATGACTGTTAAAAACTAGTAATTGTGCTTATAGTAAAGAAATAGCACATTGTGAACATGCTCTAATAAAGTTTTATCTGAAAAATCCTTCAGATTTTGAGGATAATTTCAATATGGTAACATGGATGAGTGACCTTTAATTAAAAACTAGTAATTCTGTTTATAATAAAGAAGTAGCACAGTGTGAACACGCTCTATGAAAGTTTTATTTAAAAGAGAATGTTTATCTCTAAATGGAGGACTCAAGATGCAAAAGCATGTTTTAATATACACTAGGATGAGGTTAATAATGTTTATGGAAAAATGTACAATGTCACCAAAAAATGGAAGAAATGAAAATTAAAACAGTGATGAAACTTTTACATGTTTTTGCAATTAGAAATATTTATAAAGTCATAATGCCCAATCTAAGCACAAGTGTGGTGAAATAAACATCAGACCTGATTGGTTAAAGTATTAATTGGCACAATACTTTTGAAAAGCAGTACAGTAATATATATCAAAAATATTTTTAAATAGTCATAACTTTTGATCTAGTAATTCTTCTTCTGGAAATCTATCCTAAAGCAATATAAAAAGTGGTTAAAATTTTAATTGGGGGAAGAGAAGATAGAGGATGCAAATTTAAATATGCAGTATAATTAAAACCATATAAAAATAAGCAACTTAACACAACTAATGTATAGATACAAAGAGAAATGAAATACATTGTTAGCAGTGATCATCTTTTGAATAATTTCAATGTGAAGAATTTTCTTGCCTGGCCCCCCTGTACACCAAAAGATTGAGGGTTCAATTCCTGGTCAGGGCACATATTTAGCTTGCAAGTTTGACCCCTGTTGGGGCACGTACAGGAATCAACTAATATTTCTCTCTCTCTCGCTCTCTCTCTCTCTCTCTGTCTCAAATCAATAAGCAGATCCTTGGGTGAAGATTTTTTTTTAAAGAATTTTTTTTTTTTTTTGGTTCTCTGTATTACCTTATTTTCTTTATTGATGCAAGAAAATTTCTATAGAGTACATGTGGTTTTTGATGATGAGTTGTCTTCAAAAAGTTCCCCTAAGATCAGATTTTGGCTAGTTAATCTGAGTTAGATTATTTTTTTAACTTTTTTGCTAATGTGGAAATACAATGTAGGGATTTCTATACCATAACTGATAATAATACATGTATCATATGCTCTTTAGTTGTTATGATTCAGATATCAAAATCATTTTCACTTTTCTTCAGATTTCATACAGGCAACTTTCCTATACATTATTTTTTCTGATGTTGATTTTTAAAAATTTTCCAAAATATAGAAATTAAGTTGAAAAAGAAGTGAGTACTTCTATATATACTAACATGGATCTACATCTATAACTTGGAACACCAACTTGGTACACCATTGGTGTTCCAAGTTGTAGAATAATACATATAGCGTATCTGTGACAATAATGATGGACCTAGAGGGTATTATGCTAAGTGAAATAAGTCAGACAGAGAACGAAAAATAACATATGATTTCCTTAATGTGGAATCTAAAAAACAAAATTAACAAACAAACAACAGAAACACACTCATAGACCCAGAGAGCAAACTGATCAGAGTGCTGGGGTGGAGGACTGGAAGCCTAGATGTAGGTGAAAGGATTAAGAAATACAAATTGGGGTTACAAAATAGTCACAGGGATGTAAAGTACAGAATAGGGAATATAGTCAATAATATTGTAATAACTGTATGGTGCCAGATGGGTACTAAACTTACCAGGGGGAATCACTTCGTAAGTTATATAAATGTCTAACCACTATGTTATATACCTGAAACTAATATAATATTGAATGTCAACTGTAATGAAAAAAATAAAATAAAAAATACATAGAAAATCATTTATATATAATTTCTACATGTACAATTTATATACATTTCTATATATTGGTATAGAGAAAAATCACAGTTTTCTTATAGGTTCCAATTACATGCCAGATAATCAAGGTTTTACTAGTGCAATAGTATCCATGGTAGGTGTGCTCTCAAACACAGCAGGGGTTTGGGAAGTCATGAACTTTCTAAAACTTACAAAACTTTGAATATGTGTTTTTCTAGGAAATGGATTCATATATTTCATCAAATTCTTAATGAAATCTGTGGCCCTAAAAATGCTAAAAGCTAACCTATAAAAATGTGATTCAGCTTTTACATTGCTGAACCATTTTCACTATTCAAGAGTAACTTCAAAATGCTTGAGATGGCCCTAAGCCTAACAAAGTCAAGTTCTAAAATAATGCTCAATAAATGTCAGATAGCATTTACAGATCTATTATTGTGCCTAGATTTTCAGTATGTTCTACAATCACTAGCCAGAAGTAAGCACATTAATTTTAGAGTACTTTATAACTCACCTAGAGTAGGACCCTTTAGAGAATAAAACCCACCCTATTAATAATTAACAAAACTGAGACTGCTTCTCGAAAACCAACCCATATATCATTACCCCTTCTTAAATTACAATGACTCAGAGACATCTGGAAAATTTGTCCACAGTTTTTAACCAAGAGTAGTACTTTATCTTGGTTCATATTGCAATTAAGTCTTCAAATCTGTTTCCTCCTGATGACAGTAGCTAATTTTTGTTGCCTCCATGGGAAAATATTACAGTAGTTCTTTAAATAAAGTGGTGCTGCTATGTATACATTTATAGGATTGCTATACATTTCATAAATTTAGAATTACTTTCCAAATCCTTCTTATTTACCATCTAGCCTACTCAGAATCCTTTCAAGCTATGTTCACTTGTTACTTTTTTATAAGGTTTCCTGAGCACACAATGGAGTATACAGATGTATTATAAAGCTGTGTACATGAAACTTATATAATGTTATTAACCAATATTACCCCAAAACACTTAATTTTTAAAAGTATCAGGATCAGTCATCTCTTCATTCAGTTAAAAATCTGAGTATCTACTATATTCCAGGTCTTATTTCTAGATTCTAAGAATTCTGTACTTCATAAAACAAGACAAACCCTTCACACTCCTGAGGATTATGTTCTGCTGCAGAAAACAGGAAAACAAGATAAATGAGTTGGCCAGAGAAGGCTGTAGTGAGTAAAAACTTGAAGGAATTAAAAGAGAGCTAGCTTTGCTGGTATCAGCAGGAACAGCATTCTACACAGAGTGAAGAGCAAGTACAACAGCTCTGAGGTGAAAGGAGGGGCATGCTCAAGGACAGCAAAGAGGCCATGTGGCTGGAACAGAGTGAACAAGGAAGAGAACAGTAGGAATTGAAGGTAGAAAAGGGTTAGATGATGTAGGTTCTTGTAGGTAATAGTTAAGGGCTATAGCTTTTCTCTGAGTGAGATGGGAAGCAGTTGGAGGGTTTTCAACAGAAAAATTGTAAGAACTAACAAGTTTTAAAAGGGTTACTCTGGCTCTATACTAAGAACAGACTACAGGGAAGCAAAAGCAGGAGACCAGTTAAGAAGCACTATAATAAGCCTGACAAAAGATGGTGGCATGGACCAGGATGGTGGCAGAGGAAGTGGTGATAAATGATCAAATTGGGATACATTGTGGAGACAGAACTAACAGGATTTGCTGATAAACAATATGTTGAGTGTGAGACAGAGGAGAGGCACCAGTGGCCCCAAGGTTTCTGGCCCAAGCAGCTAGAAGAATGGAGCTGGCATTAACATAGATAGGGAAGGCTGCAGAAGGAGCTGGTTTGTAGGGGACCGTCAGAAGTTCAGTTAGAATCATTGTTAGGGATGTCTCTTAGACAAGGTGAGTAGGCAGTTGATAAACAGGTCTGTAGATCAGAACAGAGGTGATCAGAGACAGATTTCAGAACCATTAGTATGCAGATGGTATTTAAAGTTATGAGTCTGGATAATAAGATCACTGTCTTAAAAAATAGGACACAGAAAAGAAGAGAGATCCAAGGACTGATCCTTGGGGCATTCAAAAATTTAGAGATAGAGCAGATGAAAAGGAATCGGCAAGAGAAACCAAGATAATATATGAACTTTAAAAATGTAAGAAGAGTTTCAACAAAGTTATTAAGGTTAAGTTAATTAAAAAAATAACATAACTCAAATACAACCATCAGAAGCTCTGTATCATTGCTAAAATGATGTATTCTTTACAGAATTACACTGAAATGAATACTCCAGTGGTTCTGATTTTTTTTTTCATGTCAACTGAAGACTGAAGAAATGAAGAATCTGTACACAGATGCTGGCATTTGAGAGGACTGATATGCCTGTGTCCTAAATACTGGCAACACTAAAGGCCAACAAGAGACACCTCAGGAGCAGCTGTGAAAAGCAAAGAAAACTCAGAATCATGGCCTCAAAAACTATTTGCAAAGTGGCTATCAAACCCAAGTTACTCCAGGGAGTACAAAACAAATAGATTTACATAAATGGAACAATTCAAAGAATATGTTCGTGTTTGAAGTTCCATGACTTCATGTAAATATAATGTAACAGCTATGCTGGTTTAATTTGTTTTGATTATCTACAATATCATCAAACGAGAAGTAGCAGGAGCATTATGATTATATATGCTACTTTTGAAGTCAACTTTTGCAGAATTAAATACAAAAACAGTAATTCAGGCAAAGGCAGAGGGTAAAGAACTAAAAGTTTAATTTAACCCCAAACCCAATGTCCTGGATTTCATTACGCACATCCTACACTAAGTTTTCAAATAGTTCTAGCACTCAGTTTTGGCATAAACCCCAAATATAAGACTCTGAATTGCCATC